TCACAAGGTTTTCACACACTGTTGCTGGTATTTTGGCCCATTCCTCCATGCAGATCTCCTCTAGAGCAGTGATGTTTTGGGGCTGTCGCTGGGCAACACAGACTTTCAACTCCCTCCAAAGATTTTCTATGGGGTTGAGATCTGAAGACTGGCTAGGCCACTCCAGGGCCTTGAAATGCTTCTTACGAAGCCACTCCTTCGTTGCCTGGGCGGTGTGTTTGGGATCATAGTCATGCTGAAAGACCCAGCCACGTTTCATCTTCAATGCCCTTGCTGATGGAAGGAGGTTTTCACTCAAAATCTCACGATACATGGCCCCATTCATTCTTTCCTTTACACAGATCAGTCGTCCTGGTCCCTTTGCAGAAAAACAGCCCCAAAGCATGATGTTTCCACCCCCATGCTTCACAGTAGGTATGGTGTTCTTTGGATGCAACTCAGCATTCTTTGTCCTCCAAACACGACGAGTTGAGTTTTTACCAAAAAGTTATATTTTGGTTTCATCTGACCATATTACATTCTCCCAATCCTCTTCTGGATCATCCAAATGCACTCTATCAAACTTCAGACGTGCCTGGACATGTACTGGCTTAAGCAGGGGGACACGTCTGACACTGCAGGATTTGAGTCCCTGGCGGCGTAGTGTGTTACTGATGGTAGGCTTTGTTATTTTGGTCCCAGCTCTCTGCAGGTCATTCACTAGGTCCCCCTGTGTGGTTCTGGGATTTTTGCTCACCGTTCTTGTGATCATTTTGACCCCACGGGGTGAGATCTTGCGTGGAGCCCCAGATTGAGGGAGATTATCAGTGGTCTTGTATGTCTTCCATTTCCTAATAATTGCTTCCACAGTTGATTTCTTCAAACCAAGCTGCTTACCTATTGCAGATTCAGTCTTCCCAGCCTGGTGCAGGTCTACAATTTTGTTTCTGGTGTCCTTTGACAGCTCTTTGATCTTGGCCATAGTGGAGTTTGGAGTGTGACTGTTTGAGGTTGTGGACAGGTGTATTTTATACTGATAACAAGTTCAAACAGGTGCCATTAATACAGGTAACGAGTGGAGGACAGAGGAGCCTCTTAAAGAAGAAGTTACAGGTCTGTGAGAGCCAGAAATCTTGCTTGTTTTAGTGACAAATACCTTTTCCAAAATGCAAATAAATCATAAAAAATCCTACAACTGGATTCAACTGCCAAGTGCCGTTACTTAATAAAACTACACTCCTCATTGGGAGAACTGCAATGTCTGACTCGATAATTACACTGCTCCAAAATAAGGAAACACTTAAAACAACCAATGTAAATCCAAGTCAATCACCACTCTGTGAAACTCAAACTGTCCCCACTTAGGAAGCAACATGATGACAATACATTTCACAGGCTATTGTACAAATGGAATAGACAACAGGTGGGAAATTATAGGCAATAGCAAGACACCAACCCCAAATAAAATTACGTGGTTCTGGCATGGGGTGACCACAGACCCACTTCTCAGTTTTTTTTTTCCTATGCTTCCTGGCTGATGTTTGTGTCACTTTTGAATGCTGCGGTGTCTTTCACTCTAGTGGTAGCATGAGACGGAGTCTACAACCCACACAAGTGGCTCAGGTAGTGCAGCTCATCCAGGATGGCACATCAATGCGAGCTGTGGCAAGAAGGTTTGATGTGTCTGTCAGCGTAATGTCCAGAGCATGGAGGCGCTACCAGGAGACAGGCCAGTACATCAGGAGACGTGGAGGAGGCCGTAGGAGGGCAACAACCCACCAGCAGGACCGCTACCTCCGCCTTTGTGCAAGGAGGAGCAGGAGGAGCACTGCCAGAGCCCTGCAAAATGACCTCCAGCAGGCCACAAATGTGCATGTGTCTGCTCAAACGGTCAGAAACAGACTCCATGAGGGTGGAATGAGGGCCCGACGTCCACAGGTGGGGATTGTGCTTACAGCCCAACACCGTGCAGGACGTTTGGCATTTGCCAGAGAACACCAAGATTGGAAAATTTGCCACTGGCGCCCTGTGCTCTTCACAGATGAAAGCAGGTTCACACTGAGCACAAGTGACAGACGTGACAGAGTCTGGAGACGCCATGGAGAAAGTTCTGCTGCCTGCAACATCCTCCAGCATGACCGGTTTGGCGGTGGGTCAGTCATGGTGTGGGGTGGCATTTCTTTGGGTGGCCGCACAGCCCTCCATGTGCTCGCCAGAGGTAGCCTGACTGCCATTAGGTACCGAGATGAGATCCTCAGACCCCTTGTGAGACCATATGCTGATGCGGTTGGCCCTGGGTTCCTCCTAATGCAAGACAATGCTAGACCTCATGTGGCTGGAGTGTGTCAGCAGTTCCTGCAAGAGGAAGGCATTGATGCTATGGACTGGCCCGCCCGTTCCCCAGACCTGAATCCAATTGAGCACATCTGGGACATCATGTCTCGCTCCATCCACCAACGCCACGTTGCACCACAGACTGTCCAGGAGTTGGCGGATGCTTTAGTCCAGGTCTGGGAGGAGATCCCTCAGGAGACCATCCGCCACCTCATCAGGAGCATGCCCAGGCGTCGTAGGGAGGTCATACAGGCACGTGGAGGCCACACACACTACTGAGCCTCATTTTGACTTGTTTTAAGGACATTACATCAAAGTTGGATCAGCCTGTAGTGTGGTTTTCCACTTTAATTTTGAGGATGACTCCAAATCCAGACCTCCATGGGTTAATACATTTGATTTCCATTGATAATTTTTGTGTGATTTTGTTGTCAGCACATTCAACTATGTAAAGAAAAAAACATTTAATAAGATTCTTTCATTCATTCAGATCTAGGATGTGTTGTTTAAGTGTTCCATTTATTTTTTTGAGCAGTGTATTTTGATTTGTTTAACACTTTTTTGGTTAATACATTATTCCATACAGTGGGGAGAACAAGTATTTGATACACTGCCGATTTTGCACGTTTTCCTACTTACAAAGCATGTAGAGGTCTGTAATTTTTATCATAGGTACACTTCAACTGTGAGAGGCGGAATCTAAAACAAAAATCCAGAAAATCACATTGTATGATTTTTAAGTAATTAATTTGCATTTTATTACATGACATAAGTATTTGATACATCAGAAAAGCAGAACTTAATATTTGGTACACAAACCTTTGTTTGCAATTACAGAGATCATATGTTTCCTGTAGGTCTTGACCAGGTTTGCACACACTGCAGCAGGGATTTTGGCCCACTACTCCACACAGATCTTCTCCAGATCCTTCAGGTTTCGGGGCTGTCGCTGTGCAATACGGACTTTCAGCTCCCTCCAAAGATGTTCTATTGGGTTCAGGTCTGGAGACTGGCTAGGCCACTCCAGGACCTTGAGATGCTTCTTACGGAGCCACTCCTTAGTTGCCCTGGCTGTGTGTTTCGGGTCGTTGTCATGCTGGAAGACCCAGCCATGACCCATCTTCAATGCTCTTACTGAGGGAAGGAGGTTGTTGGCCAAGATCTCGCGATACATAGCCCCATCCATCCTCCCCTCAATACGGTGCAGTCGTCCTGTCCCCTTTGCAGAAAAGCATCCCCAAAGAATGATGTTTCCACCACCATGCTTCACGGTTGGGATGGTGTTATTGGGGTTGTACTCATTCTTCTTCTTCCTCCAAACACGGCGAGTGGAGTTTAGACCAAAAAGCTCTATTTATGTCTCATCAGACCACATGACCTTCTCCCATTCCTCCTCTGGATCATCCAGATGGTCATTGGCAAACTTCAGACGGGCCTGGACATGCGCTGGCTTGAGCAGGGGGACCTTGCGTGCGCTGCAGGATTTTAATCCATGACGGCGTAGTGTGTTACTAATGGTTTTCTTTGAGACTGTGGTCCCAGCTCTCTTCAGGTCATTGACCAGGTCCTGCCGTGTAGTTCTGGGCTGATCCCTCACCTTCCTCATGATCATTGATGCCCCACGAGGTGAGATCTTGCATGGAGCCCCAGACCGAGGTTGATTGACCGTCATCTTGAACTTCTTCCATTTTCTAATAATTGCGCCAACAGTTGTTGCCTTCTCACCAAGCTGCTTGCCTATTGTCCTGTAGCCCATCCCAGCCTTGTGCAGGTCTACAATTTTATCCCTGATGTCCTTACACAGCTCTCTGGTCTTGGCCATAGTGGAGAGGTTGGAGTTTGATTGAGTGTGTGGACAGGTGTCTTTTATACAGGTAACGAGTTCAAACAGGTGCAGTTAATACAGGTAATTATTCTACAATGTTGTTCTACAATGTTGATTATTCTACAATGTTGAAAATAGTAAAAATAAAGAAAAACACTGGAATGAGTAGGTGTGTCCAAACTTTTAACTGGTACTGTATGTCAAAAATAGTTATGATGGGTCACATTCCATTATTAATACCTCATGTTTGTAGTATCATAAGAACATTATGGGATTATAGGCATAACAGAATTAGAGTGTTAGCTACCTAAGAGCATTCAATATATATTCTCAAACTTTAATTTAAAAGTCAGCACCTACGCTGTTGGCTAATTCCAGACACGGATAGCTCAGTCTTGACTGGACAGCTTGGGGGCCATTCTAGACTAATAGGGAGAGGAGCTCAGGGAGGACGCCAATCTAGACCAATAGGGAGAGGAGCTCAGGGAGGACGCCAATCTAGACCAATAGGGAGAGGAGCTCAGGGAGGACGCTAAGCTAACCAAGGCTTACCTTTGCCGATCTAGACCAATAGGGAGAGGAGCTCAGGGAGGACGCCAATCTAGACCAATAGGGAGAGGAGCTCAGGGAGGACGCTAAGCTAACCAAGGCTTACCTTTGCCGATCTAGACCAATAGGGAGAGGAGCTCAGGGAGGACGCCAATCTAGACCAATAGGGAGAGGAGCTCAGGGAGGACGCTAAGCTAACCAAGGCTTACCTTTGCCGATCTAGACCAATAGGGAGAGGAGCTCAGGGAGAACGCAGATCTAGACCAATAGGGAGAGGAGCTCAGGGAGGACGCTAAGCTAACCAAGGCTTACCTTTGCCGTGGCTGACCTCCACCGTCCAGGTACAGTTGAGTGAGCTAGGATACATCTCAGGGTATCCAGGGGACAGGATGGTGCCGCCGGGCCCTCGCACGTCCCCTCCACACAACGCTGGGGAACATACAGGGTGAAACACTTTATTGTCCATGTTTTGCAGAGAACAGAAATATGCCCTTTCCTGCAGTCAAATGACCTAGTGGCCCCATGGGTGGAATGTTATTAATATCTTTCATAATTTATAAAATAATATTTTATTTTTTTACGCCGAAAATCCAGAGTTTATATGTTAAACAGTTTTGTTAGAATTTCAGTCTTCTGTGATGTATATAAAGTGTAATATTGGGATGCAAACTCAAAATGTTATGTATTTCAACTCTATATCTGACATTGTACAGGTGTCGTCTTTATTTCAAGCCCATAACCATGTGTGTGAGGTGTATACTTTTATTTCAAAGTAGATTTGTTTAAGACTACCAAGAAACACTCTGTGTGACCCTGATTTAGCCCACTGCAGTAAAAAGGTGAACTCAACCCTCTGAGTCACAAACAACCAGAGCGGTAATCTTGGAGCAGATTTAGGGGTTAAGTGCCTTGCCTAAGGGGGCAATAGCGGCCATGTCATGGACAAACAGTGACCCTCAGTGTAAAGCGAAGTCAGTTTGGCATGTTTTATCTGATGTGATGTTGTTTTGTAACTCTTGAGGGAGATTGAGGAAGTGAAACCTCTCTTTTTTCTCTTCCTCCTCTTAACCTCTCCTCTCTTCCTTCTCACCAGGCACTTGTACTTATCTGTCCCAGACAGATGCAGTGCTGTATCAATAATAAATGGAGCAACTTCTTTAGAGCACTTAATACAAAGCCTTATCGTACAGGGAAATGTGGACAACTACACTGATCTTATTCTGTTCCTCACTCGTCTCTCTCTTTTCCTCTCCTCATCCCCTCATTCTCCCTCTCTCTCTCACTCTCTGAGCAAGAAATGAACCAAACAAGATTTTTTAAATTTTGACATGCTGTGCCCTCAATTTCTATACCCAAGAACCCCAAATATCAACATTTCAGCATATGTGACTCGTTTCAGGAAACTAGGTGTATGTCGTGCGTCACTACTTCACAGGAGAGCCATTTGAACGTAAACGTATTTCTTTATCAAAATGCATTTTTTGGAACATGTGAACTTTCATGTGCCTTACTAACAAACTTGGTTGCCATCTGTAAATACGAATACAATTGTTAAATTACGAGCACATTTGGTTTAGCCACAGAAAAAGACAGCAACCTTCCCGCTAGCCATGATTGACTGAGATAATGAGTGGGTTGGACATGCCGAGAGATGAGTTTGGATTGGTCTGCCATGTTGCACACTTGTGTCTATTTGAGCTGGTCAGTATGTGTAGGTAATCCTGTCTAACGCTGTTTAAAAATATATATATATTGCGTTGTAGAACTGCATAAGTGTTGCTCTCCACTTTCTGGAGGACCGAGTTTTGGAATTAGAGTATGATAGCTAAGGAGATGGAGAAAACACGTCTCCAGATTACATCTTCAAACTAAGGGCAACCATGGCATCCATGACAGAGACTGAGAAGTGTCCGTCCATGTATACGGGTAAGACAGTCTAGCTAGCTACATTTTCATATATTACACGTTTCTAATTTTGTCAGAAAGTAGTTTTCATTTCAAGTTAAAGTGTACTGTTACCTAGCTAGCTAACATTAGCTGGCTGGCTCGCTAGCTAACATTATGTGTATGATCTGTGTAGTAACATTATTCGTATCTCAGAGCCATTTTCTTTGCTAGTTATATCCTAATGTTAGCTAGCTAACATTGAACCTGGTTGGTTAGCTACCTTCAGATTCATGCAGGGTAGTAACGTCATGAGTTGGGATTATGGCTAATTGTTTAGCTAGTTAGCTAAAGCTTAAGAGGGTGTGAACGATGCTGAATGGGTGGAGACAAAGAAGGGCTCTCCAGTAGTAGTACCAAAACATTCAAAGGCCATTTTCTCAAAAGTGTCGTTACAAGTTTATCAACTTTCAAAGCAGAATTACTTCCCCATTGATCCTCAACTGTAGTGTATAATATACAATTTTCTAGCTCTGAGTCTCTACTTTTATCCAATGTAAAAAACACAATTCCAAATGTTGCTACATAAGACCGATTTGAACCGGTCGGTCACATATCAGGTCCCTCATTTGTATGCCCTGGTATGGAGACCACATCCTCCCCACTATTCCACTTAGATCAGATTCCCCAACCCTCCACCCGCCACCCTCTTACCCCCAATGCATACATAAAAGCCTTCAGAGTCATAACAGGAGGTAGGGGAGGTGAGATGACAAGTTAAAGTGCAGGTAAAGGGTGCTCCCTGATCCCTAATCTTGTGAGGAGATCAGTTCCTATCAGGCCAAGCAGCCATCACAGCAAATTGCCTCTGTGATTCACCTGCACATACAGCCTAATGGCCTGGAATTGAATTGCATTGTCTCAGTTTAGCTTACTCCCTGGAAAAGAAAATAGATCTCTGAAATCTAAACACGGAGAGACGAACGAGCTAAAAGGTTTTGTCAGCCCCAGAGTCGTTGGGCTGGTTCTCTTTCACCAGGCAGCCAATTTACATGAACTGTCATTGACTCAAGTAATTGACCAACCACTCTTGTAGGCTAAATATCTCAGCACAAAAACACAATTCAGACCTACAGCAGTTTTGTCAGTAGGCAGTTTGGCACTATCTTTGGCATTATATCATATGAGAAAATATTTAAACTAATCAAGGCCTGTTGAAAGTGATAGCTCAAGATTTGATAACTCATTTTTTGATAACTAAAGATTTTGCACCTACTGTAGATCTAGATCAAGGCTCTCCAACCCTGTTCCTAAACTCCAACCCTGTTCCTGGAGAGCTACAGTCCTGTATGTTTTAACTCCAACCCTGTTCCTAAACTCAAACCCTGTTCCTGGAGAGATACCGTCCTGTAGGTTTAAACTCCAACCCTGTTCCTGGAGAGATACCGTCCTGTAGGTTTAAAATCCAACCCTGTTCCTGGAGAGATACCGTCCTGTAGGTTTAAACTCCAACCCTGTTCCTAGAGAGATACCCTCCTGTAGGTTTTCGCTCTGACCACAGTTGGAACTAAACTGATTCAGTTTATCAACCAGCTAATTATTAGAAACAGGTGTGCTAGATAACCTACAGGACGGTAGCTCTCCAGGAACCAGGTTGGAGTGAAAACCTACAGGAGGGTAGCTCTCCAGGAACATGGCACTAGCCTGGTGGTCAGATCTGTACTATGGAGAGGCCTGATCTAGACTACAGCACTAGCCTGGTGGTCAATTCTGTACTATGGAGAGGCCTGATCTAGACTACAGCACTAGCCTACAGCTGAACCCTGGCAAGACGGAGCTGCTCTTCCTCCCGGGGAAGGACTGCCCGTTCCATGATCTCGCCATCACGGTTGACAACTCCGCTGTGTCCTCCTCCCAGAGTGCGAAGAGCCTAGGCGTGACCCTGGACAACACCCTGTCGTTCTCCGCCAACATCAAGGCGGTGACCCGATCCTGCAGGTTCATGCTCTACAACATTCGGAGAGTACGACCCTGCCTTACACAGGAAGCGGCACAGGTCCTAATCCAGGCACTTGTCATCTCCCGTCTGGACTATTGCAACTCGCTGTTGGCTGGCCTCCCTGCCTGTGCCATTAAACCCCTACAACTCATCCAGAATGCCGCAGCCCGTCTGGTGTTCAACCTTCCCAAGTTCTCTCACGTCACCCCCCTCCTCCGCACACTCCACTGGCTTCCAGTTGAAGCTCGCATCCGCTACAAGACCATGGTGCTTGCCTATGGAGCAGTGAGGGGAACGGCACCTCTGTACCTTCAGGCTCTGATCAGTCCCTACACCCAAACGAGGGCATTGCGTTCATCCACCTCTGGCCTGCTGGCTCCCCTTCCTCTGCGGAAGCATAGTTCCCGCTCAGCCCAGGCAAAACTGTTCGCTGCTCTGGCACCCCAATGGTGGAACAAGCTCCCTCACGACGCCAGGACAGCGGAGTCACTCACCACCTTCCGGAGACATTTGAAACCCCACCTCTTTAAGGAATACCTGGGATAGGATAAAGTAATCCTTCTAACCCCCCCCCCCCCCCCCCCCCCCCCCCAAAATTGTAAAGTGGTTATCCCACTGGCTATAGGGTAAACACACCAATTTGTGAGTCGCTCTGGCTAAGAGCGTCTGCTAAATGACGTTAATGTGCCCTTGAGCAAGGCACTTAACCCTAATTGCTCCTGTAAGTCGCTCTGGATAAGAGCGTCTGCTAAATGACTAAAATGTAAAATGTAAATGTAATGGTGGTCAGATCTGTACTATGGAGAGGCCTGATCTAGACTACAGCACTAGCCTGGTGGTCAGATCTGTACTATGGAGAGGCCTGACCTAGACTACAGCACTAGCCTGGTGGTCAGATATGTACTATGGAAAGGCCTGATCTAGACTAGAGCACTAACCTGGTGATCAGATATGTACTATGGAGAGGCCTGACCTAGACTAGAGCACTAACCTGGTGGTCAGATATGTACTATGGAGAGGCCTGATCTAGACTACAGCACTAGCCTGGTGGTATGTACTATACAAACTACATGTGTTTTAGACCACTTCTGATGTGTTCAGCACTAGAATGACCATGACATGTGAGTAAAGCACAAACACATCTGGTAAACAGGCTAGTAGTATTCTGCCACAACCTTGGTCACCATGGCTACAGTCCATACCATGAAAAATAAACAGATACCTGCACACTGTTGAATGCTTCCGCAGTTCATGACTTAGCCTTATGTACCCTGCACCTGAAAGTCACTGGATGCGCATATCTAAACTCGTTTTGGACAGATTTAAAATGGTTTGAACTGGTCCATACCATCACAGGTGGGCAGAGGGTGGCTCCACCAGTGGTTTTTCTCACAGACCAGAGGTTCCTCGTGGCTCAGCCTGTATCCAGGGTCACAGCCGAACGACACAGTCGAACCGATGGTGAAGTCTTGACCGTAACGCAACCCGTTGAGCGGGAAGCCCGGGTCCTGGCAGGAGTAGGTGTCCACGGTCACGCCTGAAGAGAAAATGTTATGGGGTCAACAACATCAAACGTCTATTACAGGGATTATGAAGCTGTAACAGTTTGAAATCAGAGTTAGAGTTAAAACTATGGTTAGGGCTAGGAGTTTGTCCTGACCACATGATGTGACCAGGAACACCCGGGTCACTAAACTAGACTAGTACTATTGTAGATGATGTGACCAGGAACACCCAGGTCACTAAACTAGACTAGTACTATGGTAGATGATGTGACCAGGAACACCCGGGTCACTAAACTAGACTAGTACTATGGTAGATGATGTGACCAGGAACACCCGGGTCACTAAACTAGACTAGTACTATGGTAGATGATGTGACCAGGAACACCCGGGTCACTAAACTAGACTAGTACTATGGTAGATGATGTGACCAGGAACACCCGGGTCACTAAACTAGACTAGTACTATGGTAGATGATGTGACCAGGAACACCCGGGTCACTAAACTAGACTAGTACTATGGTAGATGATGTGACCAGGAACACCCGGATCACTAAACTAGACTAGTACTATGGTAGATGATGTGACCAGGAACACCCGGGTCACTAAACTAGACCAGTACTATGGTAGATGATGTGACCAGGAACACCCAGGTCACTAAACTAGACCAGTATTATGGTAGATGATGTGACCAGGAACACCCGGGTCACTAAACTAGACCAGTACTATGGTAGATGATGTGACCAGGAACACCCGGGTCATTAAACTAGACCAGTACTATGGTAGATGATCTGACCAGGAACACCCGGGTCACTAAACTAGACCAGTACTATGGTAGATGATCTGACCAGGAACACCCGGGTCACTAAACTAGACTAGTACTATAGTAGATGATGTGACCAGGAACACCGGGGTCACTAAACTAGACTAGTACTATGGTAGATGATGTGACCAGGAACACCCGGGTCACTAAACTAGACTAGTACTATGGTAGATGATGTGACCAGGAACACCCGGGTCACTAAACTAGACTAGTACTATGGTAGATGATGTGACCAGGAATACCCGGGTCACTAAACTAGACTAGTACTATGGTAGATGATGTGACCAGGAACACCCGGGTCACTAAACTAGACTAGTACTATGGTAGATGATGTGACCAGGAACACCCGGGTCACTAAACTAGACTAGTACTATGGTAGATGATGTGACCAGGAACACCCGGGTCACTAAACTAGACCAGTACTATGGTAGATGATGTGACCAGGAACACCCGGGTCACTAAACTAGACCAGTACTATGGTAGATGATGTGACCAGGAACACCCGGGTCACTAAACTAGACCAGTACTATGGTAGATGATGTGACCAGGAACACCCGGGTCACTAAACTAGACCAGTACTATGGTAGATGATGTGACCAGGAACACCCGGGTCACTAAACTAGACTAGTACTATGGTAGATGATGTGACCAGGAACACCGGGGTCACTAAACTAGACTAGTACTATGGTAGATGATGTGACCAGGAACACCCGGGTCACTAAACTAGACTAGTACTATGGTAGATGATGTGACCAGGAACACCCGGGTCACTAAACTAGACTAGTACTATGGTAGATGATGTGACCAGGAACACCCGGGTCACTAAACTAGACTTACTCTCATAGATTATTTTAAATCCACTGTTGGAGCGGCTGTTGTCGGTGGTGAAGAGCATGTACAGGTGGTTAGTACTGCTGAACAGGAACTGGGGCACCTGGGTACCGTTGAACGAGCCGACCAGAGGAGAGAGCAGGTTGGGCCCATCGTGGATCTCCAGAAAGTCATAGCCCAGCTCTGTCTGAAACCTGGACCAATGACAGAGGAGGAATTATGAATTATGAAATATATTCATTTGATTGACTTGTGATAAAACATATTCAGTGGTACAGTTGGGGCAGTTGCATAAACTTTGATTAAGCCTACTACTACGCTAAAGAGCACTTTCAAAGGAGACTTTATAAATATAATATAAATAAGCAATACGATTCCATTCCGGGTGCATTCATTGATGCAGAAATCCATTCTCCGTATTCAACAGTTTGGGAATGCTAATAGAATATAATAGAATACATTGAACAACTTTATTGGTATAATGGACAAGTACTTGTCAAAGGTGATCTTGATGGAGCGTCCGGGCTCGGTCTCGATGACCCACTCACAGCTGAGGGAGCCCTTATAGTATCCAGGCCACCCTGGGGACAGGATCACCCCACTGGGAGCGGAGAAGTGGCCTCCGCAGGGGGCTATGGAGGGGAGGGGGGAGAGAGATTTTTAAGAGTTTAGAGAGAGAGAGAGAGAGTTTTAAATACCTCAAAATGCCCTGCTTAATGATCTAATCTGGCAAACAGTATCATACAGTGTACTGTAGATGTTACAAGGGTAGCTAGGCTAACATGAGGCTCTTTATTCCTGCCCATATGAGTGATGTCACAACAGCATCAGGGCCATAAGGTGCAGGGTGAATGACTGACAGGAAGTCCGATTAAAGGTGACTGGTTGGCCTACATTACCCTTGTTTCCTGTCCCCGGTCCCCAAGCGTCCCTCAGCCTTCCCTAGCATCCTCCACATACAGGTGAGTGTCCCCTAGCATCCTCCACATACAGGTGAGTGTCCACTAGCATCCTCCACATACAGGTGAGTGTCCACTAGCATCCACATACAGGTGAGTGTCCACTAGCATCCTCCACATACAGGTGAGTGTCCCCTAGCATCCTCCACATACAGGTGAGTGTCCACTAGCATCCTCCACATACAGGTGAGTGTCCCCTAGCATCCTCCACATACAGGTGAGTGTCCACTAGCATCCTCCACATACAGGTGAGTGTCCCCTAGCATCTTCCACATACAGGTGAGTGTCCACTATCATCCTCCACATACAGGTGAGTGTCCCCTAGCATCTTCCACATACAGGTGAGTGTCCCTTAGCATCTTCCACATACAGGTGAGTGTCCCCTAGCATCTTCCACATACAGGTGAGTGTCCCCTAGCATCCTCCACATACAGGTGAGTGTCCCCTAGCATCCTCCACATACAGGTGAGTGTCCCCTAGCATCTTCCACATACAGGTGAGTGTCCACTAGCATCTTCCACATACAGGTGAGTGTCCACTAGCATCTTCCACATACAGGTGAGTGTCCCCTAGCATCCTCCACATACAGGTGAGTGTCCCTTAGCATCTTCCACATACAGGTGAGTGTCCCCTAGCATCTTCCACATACAGGTGAGTGTCCCCTAGCATCCTCCACATACAGGTGAGTGTCCCCTAGCATCTTCCACATACAGGTGAGTGTCCCCTAGCATCTTCCACATACAGGTGAGTGTTCCCTAGCATCCTCCACATACAGGTGAGTGTCCCCTAGCATTTTCCACATACAGGTGAGTGTCCACTAGCATCCTCCACATACAGGTGAGTGTCCCCTAGCATCCTCCACACACAGGTGAGTGTCCCCTAGCATCTTCCACATACAGGTGAGTGTCCACTAGCATCTTCCACATACAGGTGAGTGTCCACTAGCATCTTCCACATACAGGTGAGTGTCCACTAGCATCTTCCACATACAGGTGAGTGTCCACTAGTATCTTCCAAATACAGGTGAGTGTCCCCTAGCATCCTCCACATACAGGTGAGTGTCCCCTAGCATCTTCCACATACAGGTGAGTGTCCCCTAGCATCTTCCACATACAGGTGAGTGTTCTCTAGCATCCTCCACATACAGGTGAGTGTCCCCTAGCATCTTCCACATACAGGTGAGTGTCCCCTAGCATCCTCCACATACAGGTGAGTGTCCCCTAGCATATTCCACATACAGGTGAGTGTCCCCTAGCATCCTCCACATACAGGTGAGTGTCCCCTAGCATCCTCCACATACAGGTGAGTGTCCCCTAGCATATTCCACATACAGGTGAGTGTCCCCTAGCATCCTCCACATACAGGTGAGTGTCCCCTAGCATCCTCCACATACAGGTGAGTGTCCCCTAGCATCCTCCACATACAGGTGAGTGTCCCCTAGCATCCTCCACATACAGGTGAGTGTCCACTATCATCCTCCACACACAGGTGAGTGTCCACTAGCATCCTCCACATACAGGTGAGTGTCCACTAGCATCTTCCACATACAGGTGAGTGTCCACTAGCATCTTCCACATACAGGTGAGTGTCCACTAGCATCTTCCACATACAGGTGAGTGTCCACTAGCATCTTCCACATACAGGTGAGTGTCCCCTAGCATCTTCCATATACAGGTGAGTGTCCCATAGCATCTTCCACATACAGGTGAGTGTCCACTCCGCTTACACTCACTTAGGCTTTTGTATGTGTCAGGAACAGGGTAACTGCCCTAAAATACATGCATGTACGGACGTGCACATGCACACACAGGCACACACACGCACACACAATCACATACACATACACACACACGCATGCACACACACTTACACACAACCACACACACACACACACACACACACAGTCTGTCCTCTCCTCAGGGAGACCAGGATAATTACCTTCACATTTAGGGATGGGTCCGCTCCACATCACCTTGCCATTGTCCAGCTCGCAGCTGATGGTCTGGGTCCCCTGGGTCTTAATGAAGCCGTCCTCACAGATCACTGAGATGGAGCTGCCCAGCTGGAAGTTGTCGCCGAAGCGCCTCGCATTTATCGGGATGCCTGGGTCGGGACACTCGTTGTGGCCGAACGCTGAAAACACATGGGCAAAACGTTTTGATCTCGCTTTGCCAGATGTAACCGGCGTCACTGTGCTGCTAATTGATTTGTTTCCTCATCTGTCCCTGTCGCATTACTCCAACCAGCGATGCTTTGATCGCACACCCACGTTATTGCTAGCTTATAAACTTACAAACCAGTTGTGTCACTGAAAATGATCTGATTCAATGGCTCAAATTGGTGACACTTCAAGATGTGGGGTGAGTTTATCATGGTACGATCCACATTTTTGTATTTGAGATGCCTGAGCGGTTGGGGCGAGGCTAGCTATGGTCTGAGTTGGTTGCTCTAATTTAGAGTAGGATTGGAAAGACTCACAGAAGCCACCACTTCACTTCTAGTGACGACAGCATAGATGGAGCATAGACCTTGTTACAAAGGGGACGTTGAAAGGGCTCTATTGTTAAGCATTATCCGACGCGAGACGATAGTCAAAGCACTTCACGGCATGAAAACAACCACTTTCCCATTCTAAAAAGGGTGCTTATTATTGTACTTGTAGTGCTAGTGACCTCAAAGCTATTTTGTCAGAACTTTATGAAGTGTAGAGGGGATTTAATCCCTGGAGGAAGATGTCTTCCAACTAAAACGGCCTTTAACTCTTCTTACAATAGCCTCGCAGGCCAAGTCAGACTGACTGACTGATGGATGTCTTGTGACAGAAAGCCCGCCAGTCGAACATAACATCAGTGGAACACTGCTCAATCATGTCACTGACAGTTCCTTAATAAAATAACATCGAGTCTGGTTGTCAGGCAGAAAGGCCAGCCCCTACAATTGTTCCTAATGACTTGGGGCCTTATATGCACAAAGGATACATGGCCTCGTTTTTCTCCCACATTCTTTTGACAGAAGTGATGGATTGGCGTGACATTTTGTGTCTCCTTCAGAAAGCAACCGTTACGAGGCCATTTTGAAAAGGATAACCATAACCGTGAGGGCAAAGCCGATTGGGTGGAAATTGACTAAGCCCTTTTGTGATGACAAAAAATAATTGACACAGACATGAGATAGGTCAGGGTTGGGCAAATATCAAAGGATCCAATCAGGACAAGATATACAGGACTATGGTCATTACTGTAAAGTCACCACAAGATGCCACAAAACAATATATTTTGGTTACAGCTAACATTACCAAGGGCCAAACTCAATTGCACCTGGATTATGGCAGAGTAACCATGGAAATACCGCAAACATGGGGTTCAACTGAACTGAGTCCTAATCAACTAACGATGACAAATCAAATGAAGAACAGCACAGAACACTATGTCAAGGGTGAAACCTACTGCTGTAGGTGATGTTGAATCCTCGTCCGGCCATGGAGTGGTCGGCCTGGAACTCCAGCCTCAGTAGGTTGGTGTTACTGTCGAGGTGGGAGGGCGACTCGGCCCCCGTGAAGCGCCCCAGGACGGTGGCGTCCAGCAGCTCGCCGTCCTTCACGGTGAGGAAGTCGTAAGGCGCCTCCAGGTCAAAGTCGTTGAAGGCCAGGTGGATGCGGCTGCCGGGTTCCGATAGGATCAGCCACACGCAGTTCATGTTGTTGCTGTAGCCTTCTGGGTAGTCGGGTGATAGGACCGTGCCCATTGGCGCTGTGAAGTTGGACAGGCATGGGACTGTGGAGGAGAGGGATATGGGCAAAGAGAACAGACGACGTGACCTCACTTTTTAATGCCCGTAACTGTATGTAGCAGAAATTGATGAAACATCTGTTAATATGGTACATGGTATCAACATTATATTCTACAGAGGTCTGTTTTCATTAGTTTTGATTACAGCAATGCAGTGATAAGACACTGACATAACTGTAGATTGATATGGCAGACAAGACTCTACCCTCTACCAAGACTCTATCCTCTAACAAGACTCTACCCTCTACTAAGACTCTACCCTCTACCAAGACACTACCCTCTACCAAGACTCTATCCTCTAACAAGACTCTACCCTCTACTAAGACTCTACCCACTACCAAGACACTACCCTCTACCAAGACTCTATCCTCTACCAAGACTCTATCCTCTACCAAGACTCTATCCTCTAACAAGACTCTATCCTCTAACAAGACTCTATCCTCTAACAAGACTCTACCCTCTACCAAGACTCTACCCTCTACCAAGACTCTACCCTCTACTAAGACTCTACCCTCTACCAAGACTCTACCCTCTACCAAGACTCTACCCTCTACCAAGACTCTACCCTCTACCAAGACTCTACCCTCTACCAAGACACTACCCTCTAACAAGACTCTACGCACTACCAAAACACTACCCACTTTATATTTGTAAATACAATCATACTTGACATAGCACATTAATTATCATACTGTATATTTTATTGTGTACATACAGTGCCTTCAGAAATTATTCACACCCCTTGACTTTTTTTCACATTTTGTTGTGTTACAGCCTGAATTTAACATTGATTAAATTGATATGTTGTGTCACCCCATAATGTCAAAGTGGAATTATGTTTTTAGAGATGTTTACAAATTAATTAAAACTGAATAGCTGAAATGTCTTGAGTCAATAAGTACAGTGGCTTGCGAAAGTATTCACCCCTTTGACATTTTTCCTATTTTGTTGCCTTACAACCTGGAATTTAAATGGATTTTTGGGGGGGTTTGTATCATTTGATTTACACAACATGCCTACCACTTTGAAGATGCAAAATATTTTTGGGGTGAAACAAACAAGAAATAAGCCAAAAAACTGAAAACTTGAGAGTGCATAACTATTCACCCCCCCAGTCAATACTTTGTAGAGCCACCTTTTGCAGCAATTACATCTGCAAGTCTCTTGGGATATGTCTCTATAAGCTTGGCACATCTAGCCACTGGGATTTTTGCCCATTCTTCAAGGCAAAACTGCTCCAGCTCCTTCAAGTTGGATGGGTTCCGCTGGTGTACAGCAATCTTTAAGTCATACCACAGATTCTCAATTGGATTGAGGTCTGGGCTTTGACTAGGCCATTCCAAGACATTTAAATGTTTCCACTTAAACCACTCGAGTGTTGCTTTAGCAGTATGCTTAGGGTCATTGTCCTGCTGGAAGGTGAACTTCTGTCCCAGTCTCAAATCTCTGGAAGACTGAAACAGTTTTCCCTCAAAAATGTCCCTGTATTTAGCGCCATCCATCATTCCTTCAATTCTGACCAGTTTCCCAGTCCCTGCCGATGAAAAACATCCCCACAGCAGGATGCTGCCACCACAATGCCTCACTGTGGGGATGGTGTTCTCGGGGTGATGAGAGGTGTTGGGTTTGCGCCAGACATAGCATTTTCCTTGGCCAAAAAGCTCAATTTTAGTCTCATCAGACCAGAGTACCTTCTTCCATATGTTTGGGGAGTCTCCCACTTGCCTTTTGGCGAACACCAAACGTGTTTGCTTATTTTTTTCTTAAAGCAATGGCTTTTTTCTGGCCACTCTTACGTAAAGCTCAGCTCTGTGGAGTGTACGGCTTAAAGTGGTCCTATGGACAGATACTCCAATCTCCGCTGTGGAGCTTTGCAGCTCCTTCAGGGTTATCTTTGGTCTCTTTGTTGCCTCTCTGATTAATGTCCTCCTTGCCTGTTCTGTGGGTGTTGTTGGGCAGCCCTCTCTTGGCAGGTTTGTTGTGGTGCCATATTCTTTCCATTTTTTAATAATGGATTTAATGGTGCTCCGTGGGATGTTAAAAATTTCAGATATTTTTTATAACCCAACCCTGATCTGTACTTCTCCACAACTTTGTCCCTGACCTTTTTGGAGAGCTCCTTGGTCTTCGTGGTGCCGCTTGCTTGGTGATGCCCCTTGCTTTGTGGTGTTGCAGACGCTGGGACCTTTCAGAACAGGTGTATATATACTGAGATCATGTGACACTTAGATTGCACACAGGTGGACTTAATTTAACTAATTATGTGACTTCTGAAGGTAATTGGTTGCACCAGATCTTATTTAGGGGCTTCATAGCAAAGGGGATGAGTACATATGCACTCACCACTTTTCCGTTATTTATTTTTTAGAATATTTTGAAACAAGTAATTATTTTCATTTCACTTCACCAATTTGGACTATTTTGTGTATGTCCATGACATGAAATCCACATAAAAACCCATTTAAATTACAGGTTGTAATGCAACAAAATAGGAAAAAATGCCAAGGGGGATGAATACTTTTGCAAGGCACTGTAAATGAGATGTCTCTATTATTTGAGTATCTATTCAGTTTATAAGTTAAATTAGCTGCTCTGAGACTTACTGATCTACAATCAGGCTCAACATGTAGTGTATACAAAGGGTTGCCTCCTTTTGAAGTTGCGCCAGAGATTTTCTGGAAAGCTCAAAGAAAGCTATTATTATGCATATTACTTCTTCTATGACTTGTATTTTTTATTCTTATCATTGATGTTGATTATTGTAATGCAATGTTGAGGGAGATAGCACGTAAGCATTTCGCTGCACTTGCTGCAAACGGTGTAAATGACGAATACAATTTGATTTGATAAGTATAAAGTACAATTCCAAGTTTTCTTCTATGTGCTGTGTTTCTAACAAACACTATATATATACATACATATATGGTCATATAAAATACCCCTGGTCAAAAGTATGTGGACACCCCTTCAAATTAGTGGATTCGGCTATTTCAGCCACACCCGTTGCTGACAGTTGTAAAAAAATCGAGCACACAGCCATGCAATTTCCATAGACAAACATTGGCAGTAGAATGGCCTCACTGAAGAGCTCAGTGACTTTCAACATGGCACCGTCATAGGACGCCACCTTTCCAACAAGTCAGTTCATCAAAGTGCATAACGGGTAAAAATTGTCTGTCCTCGGTTTCAACACTCACTACCGAGTTCCAAACAGCCTCTGGGAGCAACAATTGCACAATAACTGTTCCTCGGGAGCTTCATTAAAGGGGTTTCCATGGCCGAGCAGCCGCACACAAGCCTAAGATCACCATGTGCAATGCCAAGCGTCAGCTGGAGTGGTTTAAAGCTTGCTGCCATTGGACTCTGGAGCAGTGGAAACACTTTCTCTGGAGTGATGAATCATACTTCACCATCTGGCTGTCCGACAGATGAATCTGGGTTTAACGAATGCCAGGAGAACGCTACCTGTCGAATATATAGTGGCAACTGTAAAGTTTGGTGGAGGAGGAATAATGGTCGCTGTTTTTCATTAACGCTACAGCATACAGTGCCATTCTAGACAAATCTGTGCTTCCAACTTTGTGGCAATAGTTTGGGGAAGGCCCTTTCCTGTTTCATCATGACAATGCCCCCAAGCACAAAGCAAGGTCCATAAAGAAATGGGTTGTCGAGATTGATGTGGAAGAACTTGACCGGCCTGCACAGGGCCCTGACCTCAACCCCATCGAACACCTTTGAGATTAATTGGAACACCGGCCTAATCTCCCAACATCAGTGCCCGACCTCACTAATGCTCTTGTAGCTGAATGGAAGTAAGTCCCTGCAGCAATGTTCTAACATCTGGTGGAAAGCCTCCCTAGAAGAGTGGAGGCTGTTATAGCAGCAAAGGGGGGGACCTACTCCATATTAATACCCATGATTTTGGAATGAGATGTTCGACGAGCAGGTGTCCACATACTTCTGGTCATGTAGTGTATGTCATTATGCCTTTCTGATGTAAAATCTGCTCCCATCGTTTCAAATTCTTGACAGTTATGGCGAACTGCATCAAAATGCTGAAACTGGTACGCACGCTACTGTAAGTGCACATTAGAATGGAGGCAGGTAGTCCACATACTTTTGGTCATGTAATGTATACTGAACAAAAATATAAACGCAACATGTAATGTATTGGTCCCATGTTTCATGAGCTGAAATAAAATATCCCAGACATTTTCCATATGCATAAAAAACTTATTTCTGTCAAATTTTCTGTACAAATTTGCTTACATCCCTGTTAGTGAGCATTTCTCCTTTGCCAAGATAATCCATCCACCCGACAGGTGTGGCAAATCAAGAAGCTGATTAAACAGCATGATGTCTGTGAAGTTTTGAGGGAGCGCGCAATTGACATGCTGCCTGCAGGAATGTCCCCCTGCGCTGTTGCCAGAGAATTTAATGTTAATTTCTCTACCATAAGCCGCCTCCAATGTCACTTTAGAGAATTTGGCAGTACGTCCAACCGGCTTCACAACTGCAGACCACGTGTAACCACGCCAGCCCAGGACCTCCACATCCAGCTTCTTCACCTGCGGGATAGTCTGAGACCAGCCACCCGGACAGCTGATAAAACTGTGGTTTTGCACAACCAAAGAATTTCTGCACAAACTGTCAGAAACTGTCTCAGGGAAGCTCATCTGCGTGCTCGTCATCCTCACCAGGGTCGTGACCTGACTGCAGTTCGGCGTAGTAACCGACTTCAGAGGGCTCACCTTCGATGGCCACTGGCACGCTGGAGAAGTGTGCTCATCACGGATCAATCCCGGTTTCAACTGTGCCGGGCAAGATGGCAGACAGTGTGTGTAGCGTCGTGTGGGCGAGCGGTTAACTGATGTCAACGTTGTGAGCAGAGTGCCCCATGGTGGTGGTGGGGTTATCGTATGGGCAGGCATAAGCTATGGACAACGAACACAATTGCATTTCATCAATGACAATTTGAATGCACAGAGATACCGTGATGGGATCCTGAATACCATTGTCGTGCCATTCATCCACCCGCCATCACCTCATGTTTGAGCATGATAATGTTGCAAGAATCTGTATACAATTCCTGGAAGCTGAAAATGTACCAGTTCTTCCATGGCCTGCATACTCACCAGACATGTCACTCACTGAGCATGTTTGGGATGCTCTGGATTGACGTGTACGACAGCGTGTTCCAGCTCCCGCCAATATCCAGCAACATCGCACAGCCATTGAAGAGGAGTGGGACAACATTCCACATTCCACAATCAACAGCCTGATCAACTCTATGCGAAGGAGATGTGTCGCACTGCATGCAGCAAATGGTGGTCACACCAGATACTGACTGGTTTTCTGATCCACACCTCTACCTTTTTGTTTAAGGTATGTGTGACCAACAGATGCATATCTATATTCCAAGTCATGTGAAATCTATAGATTAGGGCCTAATTTATTTATTTCAATTGACTGATTTCCTTCTATGAACTGTAACTCACTAAAACCTTTGAAATTGTGGCATGTTGCGGTTTTTTTTTCAGCGTAGTATAGGGCATATATAGAGCTCTGGTAAAAAGTAGTGCCATTTGGGATTCAGACTCATTTTGATGAAAAAAGAAGACAAACAAGCCCAGACATTAGATGTGATTTAGATGTTCATACTCACAGATGCACATGGGAATGTTGGCCGACCACTGGTTGTTGTTCTGGCATGATATGGTCCTCTCCCCGATGAGCTCGAACCCAAATTGACACTCGAAGCGCAGGATGCCCCCATTCAGGAAGCTGTCACCTTCCCTTATCCCATAGAGGGGCGTACCAGGGTCCCCACAACTCTCCTTGTCGATTTCTGTGGAAAACAGTGACAAAATCATAGCCCTCGTGAGCATATTACAGTTGACAGTATAGTTTGTTTTATTGAATGGGTAAATGTGTCTTGTGTCTGTCTACCATCAAACAATCATAGCATCGTGCTTTCCAGTTCAATTCACACCATGTGGTATTTATAGTAGTAACAAAGAGGTTGGAACAATAATCAGGCTATATTTAGAACAAACACTGTACAGGCAACAATCACAAGGAGTTGGTGATCATTCTCTCACCCTTTCAGACAGAAAATACTTCGTTATCTTCAGTGTAGAATAATACAGTTATACGGCCTTATTTGATATTTTCTATGTCCATGTTTGAGAAGGTGAAAAGGGAGATGATAGGAGAGTTCTTTGGTGTGTTTTGTAATCCCTACTACACTAAGTAAACAGGTGAATCCTCCCTAACACTGTACCTGTGTCTATTCAGATAAGCATGACAAAGCATGCAGAGCCTCTCGCTCCCTGAATGCACCAGCACAGCAGGCGGGAAGCCACAAAGACGTAACTACCCCACACACCTCACCCATCCTGGGTCACCACAGCCAGATAACACCCCAGATTGGCCTGGCTGGTTCCCTCGGAGCATGTGGGTGTGGGGAGGAGCTATAATGCATCTTCTCAGACGTCCTTCGCCACTGCTCAGAGTTGAACCCTGAACCCTGGAGCTCTCTCAAACGATAAGGGAACAAAAAACTCCTCTAAATTAAATTCAAGGCAGGATTAATGTTGTGTTGGATCACGTCAGCGGCTTGTGGGAGTGTGGGGGGGGTTATTTCAGCCGTGGTGTAATGGAAGTCTTTGCAAAGCGTGATATATTGCATTAATTTCAATCATGACACCCTCTTTTTGGGAACCACAATACCTACCGCACTGACTGCCTGGGCTGGGCTGTTCAATCAGTAGGGAGGGAGGGAGGGAGGGAGGGAGGGAGGGAGGGAGGAAGGGAGGGAGGGATTGAGGGAGGGAGGGAGGGAGGGAGGGAGGGAGGGAGGGAGGGACAGGCCTGGGAACGTTAAAGCATATTTACTGCTCTGTGTTTTACAACATCAGAAAAGATGGAGAACAAATTGCTTTAGAGCAGCGCACATCGCATCTGAATAATGCCTAGCGACAGAATGTTGAACACTAAGGTCAGCTTTGTCTGTGGGGAGATGGTCCATTGTTATATTCTACCTGGAGTGGCTATATGTGTTTATTAGCACAATTATGACTGTATGTTTCCAGGAACTGCCAGGCAAATTGTAAAAAGATATTGCCAAGCCTATACGTATGTAAGTTATGTAACACACACAAATAAGGCCTGAATTGGGCATTGTCCATTCCTAGATATACAAGTACATGTATTGCCAGTCAACAATACTAGCTATCACAGAATTCAAAACTCATAGGAAGTATGAACCACATTGTAAATGCAAATAAGGGAAGAATATGACATTGTAAGCCTACTCCTCATGTATGCTAATTTCAATACTACTTCTGAGATTTACTTTTCATCAATCTTGGCTAAGAATGTCTCATTAAGCTAGACTTACCCGTCCCTGAGAATTACAGTCCAATCAGAATGACACGGGGAGCCAGTATGAAAAATGTATGCACTCACTAATTGTAAGTCGCTCTGGATAAGAGCGTCTGCTAAATTACTGAAAAATGAAGTTTATTCAAAGGCCGATGTGGACCTAGAGAAAATACAATCTCAAAGATGAGTCACTAACATAGATTCAAACAACAGCAAAGGAGCCATGTTAGTATAAGCCCACATCCTAGTTAACTATTCTAATGATCTGAGATTTTGAAAGTATTAGCAATATGCTACAATGAGTCCTGTTGATTAAAACTGATCTGGTACTGGTACTTCCTGTAAATAGCTCCATTATTGTGTATTTTATTCCTTGTGTTACTATTGTTGTTTTTTTATTTATTTTTTACCTCTACATCGTTGGGAAGGTCTTGTAAGCAAGCATTTCACGGTTAAGTCTACACCTGATGTATTCGGCGCATGTGGCAAATACAATTTGATTGATTGATTGGAACTTAACCAACTTATTAAGGGATATCAACACTATGAGCACTTTAAAATTATTCAAAATATTTTTTTGTGACTCATTTCAGGAAACTAGGCATATGTTTATTTTATTTATTTTTAGTCATTTAGCAGACGCTCTTATCCAGAGCAACTTACATGAGCAATTAGGGTTAAGTGCCTTGCTCAAGGGCACATCGACAGATCTTTCACCTAGTCGGCTTGGGGATTAGAACCAGCGACCTTTCGGTTACTGGCACAATGCTCTTAACCACTAAGCTACCTGCACGTCACTACTTCACAGGAGCGCCATTTGAACGTAAACCTTTTTTTTTTTTTTTTATGAAAATGCATTTTGGGGCATAAATGCCTTCTGGAACATGTGAACTTTCATGTGCCTTAATAACAAACTTGTATGCCATCTGTAAATACGAATAAAATTGTTAAAGTACGAGCCTAGTTGGTTTAGCCATGGAAAAAGACAGCAACCTTCATGAGTGGGCTGGACATGCCGAGAGATGAGTTCGGATTGGTCTGCCATGTAGCATGCTTCTGTCTATAATATGAGCTGGTCACTATGTGTAGGTAATCCTTTCTAACGTGCTTGTTTTTAAAGATATCACGTAGTAGAACTGCATAAGTGCTGCTCTCCGCTTTCTGGAGGACCGAGTTTTGAAATCAGTGGAATTAGAGTACGATAGCTAAGGAGATGGAGAAAATTCTGGCGTTTGATTGCAAATATGCAGACTGAGTCAAAAAGAGAACACACAGAAGGCTGTTGTATAAAACACCTGTCTCCGGATTACATCTTCAAACTAAGGGCAACCATGGCATCCGTGACAGAGAGGGAGAAGCGTCCATCCATGTATACGGGTAAGAGTGTCTAGCTAGCTACATTTTCAGATATTACATGTTTCTAATTTTGTCAGAAAGTCGTTATCATTTCAAGTTAAAGTGTACTGTTAGCTAGCTAGCTAACGTTAGCTGGCTGGCTAGCTAGCTAACATTACGTGTATGATCTGTGTAGTAATATTATTCATATCTCAGAGCCATTTGCATTGCTAGTTATAGCCTAATGTTAGCTAGCTAACATTGGACCTGGTTGGTTAGCTACCTGCAGATTCATGCAGGGTTATGAGTTGGGATAATGGTTCATTGTTTAGATAGCTAGCTACATGTCTAAACAAAAGCCTCCACTATGTAAGTAACTATTTCAATAGAATGTTTATGACGTCACCGCGACAACTGTCGATAGACGTAGCTGGTAAATTCACTCTGGCTATCTACTCCGATTTCAGAGCACTGTCATCTGAGTGTGCCAGAGCGCAGAATAACTGACGAATTTACGAATGCTCAACACCCCTTGAATACATAAGACCGAATTGAAAGTATTTGGAAGTATTTCTATCAATTGTAAATTAATGTGTAGACTTCAACTGAAACTACAGGGCAATTTATAGTTGGATGACTCATGTCTACAGGAACCATACCAACATTTCCTTGAGGTATGCTGATAATCCAAAATATTATTTTCATAATTCTTCTGTTTTATGTGGAAATAAGTGTTTGTGAGAACTGGTAGTTAATTACCAGTAGATAATCTACTCATTACAGCAAGGCATTTTCTCAAGAAATATTGTAAAGTAAAAATTTGAGTTGATGATCATCAATTAGAAATGCCTGTCATGTGTCTGTTATGTGAAGTGATTGAGGTGCAAGTTGCTTCCGGAGAATAAAGTCACATTTTATGAGCTCCTGTATGCTGCCTTAGTCTGGTCTTCAATGTTCCACTCTCTCAACCCTCCAAACGACGGGTTACAATGACATCTCTACACTACTAATCTTGGCTGCACACATTTAATTCACGTACAGTTTCAGTATCCACAGTGTTGCTATGTAGAAAACGTTGGGAATTGGCGGACATCAACGTGACGATTACAATGTGAAACAATACGTCACATCGGGAACTTTTGTTGAATATGAAACTGTGATTTGTCCTCCAAGATTCAATAAAAGCACATTAACTTCTCATCAATAGAACATGACCCAACCAGATATCTCATTTGAGCTCATAAAATACATATTAAGTTTGTGAACTAATTAGGGTCCCACATCTTCCAGTTATAGCCCATGGGGGTTTTAAATCTGTCACGGAGGTCCCAACCTCCAGCTCATCTCAGCTTGGTGCTGTGATAGGGGACATAAATCAATCAGTACAGTGCCTTTGGAAAGTATTCAGACCCCTTCACTTTTTTCCACATTTTGTTAGGTTACAGCCTTATTCTAAAATTGCTTAAATTGTTTTTTTCCCTCATCAATCTACAAACAATACCCCATAATGACAAAGCAAAAACAGTTTTTTAGAAAGTTTTGCAAATGTATTAAAAATAAAAAATAAAAATATCACATTTACATAAGAATTCAGACCCTTTACTCAGTATTTTGTTGAAGCACCTTTGGCAGCGATTACAGCCTTGAGTCTTCTTGGGTATGACGCTACAAGCTCGGCACACCTATATTTGGGGAGTTTCTCCCATTCTTCTCTGCAGATCCTCTCAAGCTCTGACAGGTTGGATGGGAGCATTGCTGCACAGCTATTTTCAGGTCTCTCCAGAGATGTTCAATCGGGTTCAAGTCCGGGCTCTGGCTGGTCCACTCAAGGATATTCAGAGACTTGTCCCGAAGCCACTCCTGCGTTGTCTTGGCTGTGTGCTTAGGTGTCGTTGTCATGTTGGAAGGTGAACCTTTGCCCCAGTCTGAGGTCCTGAGCGCTCTGCAGCAGGATTTCATCAAGGATCTCTCTGTACTTTGCTCTGTTCATCTTTGCCTTGATCTTGACTAGCCTCCCAGTCCCTGCCACTGAAAACACCCCCACAGCGTGATGCTGCCACCACCATACTTCACTGTAGGGATGGTGCCAGGTTTCCTCCAGACACAACGCTTGGCATTCAGGCCA